AGCATACACATGTTTTAACAGTCACGCAAAACAAACACTGGCAAATTATTATTCAATTAAATCTGAGAATGTATACTATTATCTAGATCTATTGGGAATAAATCATTGTCAAAATAATTCCATAAATTGGGGTTTAAAAAATCCAACATTATGAGCATCATTGTATTATGGGGATAAAAAGTAATTACTTTTATGTACACTTTGTTGAAATGAAGAGAGAGAGAGGGAGAGCAATCTCTGATTTCTGTTCATATAAAAAAAAAAATAAGCATGATTTGAGTGATACTGAATTGTGTAAAGTACGACAAATTATGATAAATACAAATACCGATCAAAAACCACGAAAGTTGAAGTTCAAAGTTCTGAAAAATGTTCTGCTCTTTAAATACTTGCTTTTCAAAATATAAATAAAATCTTCTTCAGAATGTACGTTTTGCTCCAATTTTTCAGAAACCATTATAAAATGCACTATGGCAGTGTAGATATGTTCAGACGTTTTGGAATTAAACCAAAGTTTTGCTTTCCATGTTTGACTAGTACACAGTATCACATTTTGATAGTAAATTATAATATTAAAACCCTTAGACCATATGCACTCTCTTGAAATTCCTAACTATAGATTTAGAAGACCGTCTTCACCCTTAAGTGACGTAAGCATCAAACGTTTCTACAACCTTGATATCTTTTAAACAGACATTCACCAACAGGTGCTGTCTTTTTTGGGGAAATATAATCCGAAGAAACAACCCCCCTTTTCCCATAGGGGTAAAATTCTTTAAAGCTGATTATTTTAAAGAGCTTTAAAGTAATCAACTTTAGATACAACATCATTCACACACAGATAATTTCGGTGCGGTCGTTAGAGATTCACTGACCTTTAAACGCTCAGTAGGGCCATTGCGCATTTACTAGCAGTGACTCATCGTTCGTAAATGCGCAATGGCCCTACTGAGCGTTTAAAGAGCAGTCCCCGGTCTAATTAAGGACGTATATACGTTGACACACAAAACGTCTTGCTATCTAGATACGGACTTCGTATCTGCAGCCTGTTTTGACCGGTGTATGAATCGCGACTTCGTATCTGTCCGAACATTGTATAAACGACGTTCACAAAGGGACATTTTTTCTTTAAGGCTGTTTAGTTAAACATACTGGATGGCCCGACAGAGGAAGTTTTCCTGTAAGGGACCGGGGCAAAAAGGAAATGATCTATTGATAATTTATTGCATTTTCTTTGTTTTATGTATTTGTGGGGGCGGCCCCGTACCCTAGCCCCCACTGCGTACAGTCATGGTTCAGTGGCTAAGTACTGCCTCTTCCGCGGCTGTTATCTGGACAGCGCTGATCTTCTGGCCCTGGAAATTTGTTCTCCGTGCTCGGGAGGATGCCCCCCACAGCTCAAAACCGTGTCGATCTGCTGTAAGTGCCCTTTTGTGAGGCAGTTATACTCCTTACTGTCAGTTATGACTTAAGGACGTAGGTCCCCTACTTGGTTAGCATAGTAGCATACGCATGCGCTAGCAGTCAAACAAAACAAACACTCACAAATTATTATTCAATAAAATCTGAGATTGTATATGCCTACTATTATTTATATCTATTAGGAATAAATCATTGTCAAAATCGTTCCATAAATTGGGGTAAAAATAATTTTTTAACCATTATAACCAACAGTATATGTATTATCCGATAAAGACCTTTTAATTGATTTAATTTTTTTATTATGAGTTTACGGTATTAATAAATGTGTTTAATAAATATTTGAAAGTTGGATACTACACACATAATTATGAATGGCGCAATGAATAATAAAACAAACTGTGATTTACTCACAATTAGATAATGGTTTTACAAACTACCTACAATGTACATGTATATCAAAGTTTGGTTTACACACCACAAATTTGTTCATTGAAACAAATTTTCTTGATTAAAATGTAACATGATCGGAAATATGATGGATATTTTTTTGTTAAACTAGCCCAAATATATCGATATCTTTTTAGAGGATGCGCATTCTGAATGTACTGTACGCGACAATACACACAGGTAACACATTACAATATAACCAGACAGATAAATTGATCCATGAAAGTGCTTTGCTTTATGGTATAAAAACCGCAAACGAAAACAAAAATAACAATATTATTTTATTCAACCGACTTCTGAGAGGGAAATTTGAGAGATATTTATATATACAGATAAAGAGTGGGGAGGGGGGGGGGGGGCTTATTAAGTGAGCACTGAATCATTTAAAACAAATCTATTATGCCTTAGTTCGTTGGTTATGGATGATTTATATTTCTTGTTGAATCCATCTCATGTGGTTTCGTGATTAAATGAGGCAAGATACAAGACGATGATAATGACGGCGACGGTGAGGATAATAATAAAAATTATGGATATTCTCCCTTCTCATTATAAATCTGAATATTCCTTCTCCCCCTCTCTCTCTCTTTCTGTTATTTAATGACTTTAAAAGAAAAAAACAAAAGACTTCTTGTAATTATATCAGCGTAGTTTATTTTTGCTATGACCAGTTAAAAATATTTATTTCTATAACAAAAATTTCATTACTAAATAGATTTACCACAAATTATGAAAAAACTATTTACATGATTATTTTGTGTTAAAAATTATCTGTACTAGTTTATAGGAGGGATTATACCACTCTGCAAGGTTACTGGACAGGTGGTTATCTCATCAACTCAGCTCTCAATTAACATAAGAAAGAGAGGATCATGGGGAACCAATGGTCACCGATTAGGCATTTTTTTATAAAGAGGGAGCAAGTAGCTACAAGTAGGACAGCGTGGCTTATAATTGTATTCAGTTCATGCTAAATGTATTACTCATTGCGGATTTTGTATCGAAAATAATATCGCTAGTGATATTCATTTGTCTCGCAATGTATGGTCAACAAGGGATCTAAAAAATCACGCCGGCAGTTCGTAAGCCGCTGCAACACTTCGTAAGGTGATAAAATATATTGTAAGAAAGCGTGTTTTTTAATCTACTGGTGGGCCGTCGGTCAAATAATTTGATCCGTTATTGTTCTAATTTTTGATCGAATTAATTGACCGCCGGTCCACCCGTAGAGTATAAAACACGCTTGCTTACAATATAGTTTATCACCTGACGAAGGTGGCAGTGGCGCACGAAACGTCGTGATCTTTTCGATCCCTTGTTGGCCATACATTGCGAGACAAACGAATAACACTAGCGATACTATTTTGGATTTTATTCATTCTTCTCAGCATAAAAAACAATATTATAATATATACAACATGACAAATATACATAGTAAGCGAAAAAGCGGAAACTACAGAAAAGTTTATTAAAAATGTTACAGAGTAGTTCGCAGTAGAGGAAGTCATGGCAAAAGCAATAACAAGCAAACAAAAGCAATAACAAGTCAAACAAAAGCAATAACAAGATACACAAATATATATGCCTGTGTAGTGTGTGATTTCTGTGATCAGTTTTCGTGTGCTACTTTTAAACATTTTTATTTTGTGTAAATCTTCCTTCATATTATGTCCTCTCCCGTTGTGTAACCCAAGTTTATTTTATCTTTTGTATTCTGTTTGTCTCTTTGTTTTTTTTTCCCACCCACCCACCCAATCCCCAAACCCAACCAGGAGGAAACATTGTTGTCTTCATTCAAGAATTAAGAAATGAATCTTTGCAAAAGTGAACGCTTAGATATGATCCATTATATATTGTTATATTTTATAATGTTATTCATTTCCCAAGTGGAGTAACATTAACTCTTGGTATCACTGTAATAAGTGCAGCGCCACCTTTTAGTAAGAACACATGATATGAGAGATGAACTACTCTTAAAAAGGTTGAATGTAAGCAACGAAAGCATCAACCCAAAATATATCAGCTTCAGAGGTAAACAAACACATTAAGAGTAGTTGCTTGAGAGTCATATTAAGATACTACAACAACCACATAAAAAAAAATCAAATGTACTTATTTAGTATGGCATGTGTAATGGTAATATATATTAGTTATCATTGGGAATATATCGACGAAGACCATCTAAGTAGTTTCTATTGACATTTGAATTTGATTTTCAACTCTCCTAGCTTAATCCCGCAATACAGCCACCAATTATCTTCTTAGTCTCAAATGCATACTTTTACTGCATGGCACGTACCATAACATGTATATTTCTTGCTTGTAAATATTACAATTGGAATGGCGTTGAAAAACGAAAAGCGTTGAAGATTTTATGTTTTGGTGGAAATAGATGATATAAAATAAACGAAATGAAATATCAATCAGAAAATTTAATAAACGAACTAAGCTACACATGTAGTATAATAGTATAGATGTTTTAACTGATATTCGAGGCATAACTGTTTCTATACAGGCTCAAGAGGACGATACATCCTGCTATGACCCCGAGGCGCGCCGCGGCGAGGCAATGTCCCCCGAGAGCCAGTACAGAAACAGATATGCCTCGAATAGTAAAGCAGTCCATATATCTGTTGTAGTAGTAGAATGGTTATATTAGGACAACTGCAAAATGGTAGCCCGAAAGCTAAATTACATTGCAAATTTTACAAGCTCAATTGTAAAAAGCATTTCATTTATTAGACAAGTACAAATAATACACAGTAAAATAGATGATTACTTATTACATATTCCATAATTGCAAACAAATTGATGATACCAATAAAATAGATTCATCATTATTATTATTATTGTAATCATTGTTAAGTTAATAATCATATTTTGAATAGATATTGAGGCTGATTAATTGAGTTTATGACAAGTAAATACTGAAGATTTGTTTGATTTCGAACCGTTATAAAATGCAAATTGAATCTATTCATAATACTACACTATGACGATTATCATAGAAACATGATTGAACAATACCGAAAGAGAGAGAAAATGTCAGGGAGAGAACGATTTAAAGAGAGAGGGTTAAGTTAGAAAGATGCGGAAGATGTTAGAGAGAGAGAGAGAGAGAGAAAGAGAGGGAGTGGTATGAGAAGAATGGAACAGCTGGAACTGTGAATACATGGAGAAGAGGAATGATGATGAAAGTAAGACGGCAAATGGAAAGCGATTAGAAATTAAAAAGTGATTTACAAACTTTCAAAGACAGTACAATTTACCAATTAAACATGATACATTATTATATACATTGTAAACCGAATTCACAAAATATTCTACAAAGAATTCTTGCCTTATTATCCTTTTCTGGAGCAATGATTTGTACATTACAGATAATTTGAGACACTGTCTGTTAATCTTCGCTAGAAATTTGCCTGAATTTTGCGGGCATGGCTAAAATCACGACTCCAATTTCGACCACATAGATGACTAGGTTTATTCAACATACTAAAAAGAGGTGTATAATACATTGTGTATGCTCTAAATCAATAGCAACAAAACGATTTCTGGAATTGGAAAAAGAGAATGAAATACAAATCATGAAAAGTAAAAAGAGCCCAATACAAAGCATCGAAAGAGTTATCTGCCCATACACGCGTGCGTTTGCAGAGATTAAAATAAACCAGTAGCTTCACGCGTCGATCCACTCGTCTTTTTTGAAGTTTATTGCCAAGACTAAGCACTGCAGAGAAAGAGAGGGGAAGAGAGACAAATAAAAAGGACCACTAATAATTTAATTGTGCCACTCTTGTATGGTGTGTATCATTAAGATATAACGCCTGCATACGCTTTCAACATTCCACATGGTACAATTTCATTTAGGAAGAAATAATGAATATCTTTCATGACATTGCTTATCTTAACTATTCAAATTTGAAGAAAAAAGGAAAATGAATTACAAAGAAAAAAAATTATTAGTAAAGATTTTATGTTAAGGAATAATCGATTTTGTTCAACTTTTATGTCAAGTTTAATGAGATTTCAGATTTCCGGTTAAGATGAAGATTAATGTTTAAGCTTCCTAATACTCTTTATGTCAACCTAGAAGATTAGCCAAGTAGAAATGTCACCTGGACATGATTGCTCTTAAAGTGCCCCTGTATTCAGCAGATGACTAGTAATAGCCAGGGTGTTTGGACCAAACAGTCAAGACGAATGTGCGTGTAGTCCCATAAACCCATTTCCGTGTTAGATTTAGAGATAAGCGCATTGAGAGACTTTCCTGTCTATGTGCAATTTTAAATTCCATCTTTATTAACGTTATCATTATTATTATTTATTATTACATGTATTATCATTATTTGTATTATTGTTATCATTATCGTTATTAATTTCATCATTTTAATCATTGTTATCATTTCTAGAACTATCATAAAATAATGATCATTAATCAACCATTCACAATGCCATTTGTTGTATGACACCAGTATTCAGCTGTATATCTCAAAGGACTTACTGGCCGTTCTTAGGGTTTTCCTGAACTTCAGCCTGGTCTGTTGAAGGGTTCACCTTTCTAATACAAGACAAAAGGTAAGAGCGATAAGAAGTTTGAGGATGTAAGAAAAAGTTAATGAAGATGAAGTATACGAACAAACAGGACAATGTTAAATAATTATGTGATGTGGTCGAATGAAGCTCGCCACAATTGTACAAAACTTGTTCAGGGTGACCATTTGCATCCTTTGCGGACCCAACAACCTAAACTTAACACTATACCCTATACTTTAAGGGAAATATTATTCTGATTTGATATAAAGCTTGATACACTGACGATGTGTCTACAGGGCTAAGCAAACAACAAAGATTCAACCAGTTGATCCAACCGGACACCTTTCAGGTTTCTATTTGTTGCTATAGGACGTTACGGCCTGGTTATGATTCGAGCTCTCAACCTTTGGATTGAGAGACATGACAAGTTAATGAACCACTATACCATGACACATCCACAAATGTCGGAGCACCTTTGAGACGCCCTGTACAAGGACACACAAATGTAGGTATAGCTGAAATCCCATGATAGCAAAGATTTCTTGACAGTTAACCTAAATCAATGTCAATAGCCCTGTCAATCAATTATTAACACATGCGAAAATTACACGTAATACGTGATCCCAATATGGTTTATATTGGATGTACATTATGGTATACAAATTGTCTGCAGTTGCTTTTTTGAAGGTGAGCGCTATTTTGAAGGTCATTGCTATTATGCTGACAGTGCTTTTTTTGTTTCTTTGGCGCCAACAAACAAATGTTGCAAACCTGCTCGACGGTGGACGTTTCTTTGGTCTGCAGATCAAAATGACGACTAGCACGATCACACCGATCGGAATCACCGTTCCCCCATATATTCCGATGATCGCAGGCCTCGAAAGAACTGTAGAGGAAGAGGAAATTATTTACCTAATTCTTGACTAAAAAACTTGATGCATAGATACACTAAGTACAGTTAAGCAAGAAGAACTTAAGAAGTTCTAAAATTTGTATTTTATCTGTAAGACGGTATAAGGAAAAACAAACCCCATTATTTAATGTATAACTTAGGCGAGGCGTCAAAAATAAATATACCAGCCAGCGGCAGCTAACTGCACTTGTGCGTCCTGGCTGCATTTTTTTAATTAGCTCAGCCGGCTACCGCTGGCGGTAGGAAATGGCATTCAAAAGCATGCGCCGGCTTCCGCCTTTCGAATGGAAACAAAGCCTCAGATCCCAGCCTGGCGCAAGCCGGCTGGGTTAATAAGTGAAAAATAATTGCCCCAGCCAGGCTTCGGCCGTAATTGCAGCCTCGATGCGCCAATACGTGAGGCGGCAGCCTGCTGGTATCGATATTTTTGACGCCTCGCCTTAATTGAAGAAACTAAAAATTTAAAACTAACATACAAAAAATGTTATTCTACCTCCTCATTATTATTATAGGAACATACTATGGCAGTCTTTATATTATAAAGATATTTAAATTATTTACAACAGCTCCAACATAGAGCAGGAAGAACTATTCTAAAAAATAAAGCCTCAATTAAATATTATGTTACTTCAATGCATGAATTCCTGCTGTTGGAGACTTTGAAACCTGGCACGAAATTCCATATCAGTGTAATGATGTTTAAAGTCCTCAATAGTGTGACTTCAAATTGTTTAACTGAAAACATATTTTATACCCTAACATCTTATTAGCTACGCTACATTAATATTTCGCCAAACAAACAACTGCAAACACCCTTTTTCTATTGGGATGGGGGAGAGGGATGGGGAGGGGGAGGCTGACAGATACAACAGCATTTGCTAATCGCAAATTGCACATCTATGTCCTTTAATAGGTAAGACTAAATTCTTACCAAGTGGCGTCCCTGTCCTAGAGGGCGTAGTCTTTGTCTGCCCGGATGCATCACCCATGCATGTCGGGATATCGCCATGACTCCAAGTACCATTTGATTGGCAGGTTAAGTTGACCACATGACTCAGTTCGAAGCTGGCATCGCACACGAATCTGGCCACGCCCCCTGCCTTGTAGGTCGCCACGATGGCTCTTCCTTTAGCAGGGGCGGGAAGACTTGGGCAACTCACTTAAGATAAGATAATAAAAACAAAATATGAACGAAGTGAATAAAGGTACAAGCTTGTCATTAGGCATATCAACAAAATTTGCATATGATCGAGATAAAAAAAAAAAACAACTTAAAAACTGAACAAGGGATACAGTCAAATATTTCCTCAAAACTAGGGCTCCATCAACGCTGAGTCAAACCCGAGCTGAAAACGACGCGTCTGTGCAATATAATCGAGTCCGGGTCTGTCCTGTGCATTTATCTATAAGTGATCCAAGGACATTACCGCTTCGTGTGCAGCCAGCAATACGAGGCGTTATTCACTCGCGTAAATATATTACCTTAAACAGAATAATCTATGACATAGGTAATTATGAGCAATAGATATAAGGCGAGTTGCACATGAGGAAACAAACCGTATCAATTGGTTTGCCCAGCGAGTGAGTGTGTATTGAATGGTGGTAAATTAGTAAAGCCCGTTGCACACACTCTTACAATGCATAAGGTCTATCCGGTAACGGTAAACGTGATGGACCTCATACCAGGGGCGGATCCAGCCGGCGGCAGGGGAGGGGGTCCAATTCGTGAGAACATATTTAGCGGCGAAACAACCGACCGATAATTCACTCAGATATTTTGTGGGGTCCTCGTAATGCTGCTATGTGTAGTTGCACACTTAATTTTATTTTGCTGACGGAAGACATCGTTATTGATTGGTGCGATCTTTGACATGCTTTGTGAGAGTGAAATCATAACAAAAATATTATTTGTATAAGCTGATATTTCGCGTACATATATTTTCGGAAATGACAGGCTAAACAACATTTTCCCGAGCCGTTGCTTTCGCAAAAAAGACACAATGAATAGGCATGACGTATTCACAAACTCACTCACGCCAACACATACACACTCACAGACTCAGTACACGAAAGTATACACACACAAGGGCTACAAACGAGTGAAAGACTTTTGAAAAATAAGAACTTCCCCACTTGCTATCGCAGAAAGTAGAATCACCGGTGCAAGTGCAATCGCTGCTACACACTAATACGCGCGCGCTGTGTAGAATGCTCAGTGAGTATGGACATGCAAATGGCGTCGGCGATAGAAAGAGCGCAAGCACATAATGTTATGCTGATAATTTCGCGCTCCTGAAAGATCAGGTGGCAATATTTTCGCGCGTTGATAAATTTGAGAAAATATGCAAATCGCGGAATTCAGAAAAATAATATTGTTTACAGTAGTTTAAACCCTGCTTCGAATTACTGATAAATGGCCGTTTCTTTTCTTGGTTAAGGATGGTTAGAGCAGGTAATGACGAGAACGATATGACGCCTCATGCGCAACTGGCAATCTTGCAGTAGGTTGTGATAACCTTGCGTCAAGAAGTTGCGTCTGTACCTAGAGGCTCTGTCGTAATGCATGGAGGAATGTGATTGGTGCAATAAAATGAGGTTTTATGAGCAACTGGTACGAAATTGTAATTTACCGAACGATGCTCTGTTGTCAACTGCCTGCTGATACTGCACGAGGGACTTCACGGTATTCTGTGCAAAACTCTGCGACCCCGTTGTCTGGTAGTCGAAGATACAGAACGGGTTCGTACCGCAGACTTCTACCACAAGGCTCTGGTCTACAGAAGGGTTGGCGACAGGCTCAAAGACAGGAATGTAATGGCGGTTGGTATGAAATTCGTGGTCCTTGCCCGGTTCGTAATAGAACACTGATTTTGCGGCACCGATTTCCCCTGTGTTGAAGTAAAAGGGAATGACCAAGAATGCAGACAATTATTATTCTAAGACAAACATGCGTGTTCAAAATCGGAAGCACATACGCTATGGAGGATATCTAATTAATCATCTAATAATTTTGGAGGGGATGGTTTTGCACCCCCTAGTAATAAGGAGAAGGCCGATTTCTCTTAGATATAGAAACGTTGTATCATCCGCTCCATCTGGCTCACGTGCATAGAACAAATAAGCATTTTTGAATGAAAAAGTGAAGTTTAAAAAAAAAAAGCGTTTCTTTCCAGCATTGGAGTTCCCGGGAATTAAGCAATGGTCACAAATCAGAGCGGCGACCGACCGATTTGTAGCCTGCTCGGTCGCCGCTAGAATTAAGGCATCGCCCAGCGATTTTTAAGGAAGAAAACAACTGGGCGAAATCGGGGTACGGGCGGCGTCCTGGCAGTGATCGACGAATGACCCACCGATCCCCGAGCGGTCTCCCATCAGCCACCGGCTTATTTTTAAGAAATTGCCCGGCGGGCGGCCGGTGATCGGCGGGGCACCAAAAGCCGCTAGGTCAAAGGCTGCCGACCGATTTTGAACTCGCAGCCCAGTGACTGACTGATCTCTCACCGGCGTTCGGGAGGCAACCGCTCTGCAGCCTTTGACCTGTATCGCTCGACGGCGAACGTTCGATTAGGTCGGTGGACGGGCGGTGAACGCCCGGGCACCGAGTGTATTTTTGGCGGAGCGATGCCCTAAAAGAAGCAGTTTCCAGGCGACCTCCGCTCGATTCCCAGGCGAAATTGGTTAAAAACTCGCCGCCCGGCCGCCGAGCACGCTACATTTTGAGGTTGTGACCATAGGTTGCTTAATCTCTCAACAATTAAAATACATACAAATAATATGCACTTTCCTTGTTCCGGCAAAAGTACAGAGAAAGTGCAAATTATTTGTATGTCTTATAACATTGTAATCGCGCTGCGTGTCGTGTCTATTTACGTTGGAGAAGGGCAACATAGCGAGTTTCAATTGCACTTCGGCCGCTCTCGCTAGTCCTCACTCGCTCCGGTCAGGAGGCTTTATGGTAAGCGGCTAATGAATATACCAATCGTTTAAACTGGCTTGAATTGGTTGCATACTTTTGTCGGAACTTACTTATTCACATAATGGAACTACATGCCAGATGAAGCAAGTGGTCCGTGACCAAAGAACTGTAAATATACGTAGAAGGCTCATAGTGGTTTGAAAAATGTTGCCAGCGCTCGTATGTGACATCCGCCCTCTTCGTTAGTCATCTTGTTGTGTTAGCCGCTTTTTTTTGTCAACGACAGGCCAGGCTGAAATTGTTTAAATTTATGAGCTGACAAGATCGAGGACTTAGCAAAATGGCGGCGTGTGTACTCAATGCGAATCTCCCAGCACATTCAACGACCGCATGTCGATCTGTGCATTGCGAATGGGGATGAGCGTTCTACGTATTTTACAGTTCTGTGCCCGTGACCCCTGCACTCAACACCATTTGTTGTGGCCAACTTCTTTTATGAGACAAATCCAAGCAAGCGTTTCAAAACGAGGTGATGAAATAATTTGTGAGCTGTTTTAACCTTTGTTTTAATGGTCATTTTTAACAGTATCATACGTTTAATAAAAACGGACACACTCGAAAAGGATTGCTAATGGACCAATAAAATTAATCTGAATCTGAATCTGAATCTGAATTAATGAAAAGTTAAAGCAAACAATATTGTGAAATATATATGTGTAGTCCCAAATGCCAATTTTGGAGTGCAGTGCATGTGAAGTTTGTATAATTATAGTGGACGCTATTACCTCTATACTTCATAAGCAACCTTTCCAAATAACTTCTAGATGATTACTTTCAAAATGTAATCACAAGACCAGAACTGAACTATATACTTAGTACCCTCACATTTGCTTGCTCTCTGTTACAATCCTATCTAGGACGGGCAATGAAGACTATAAACGAATAACTTTCAGACGTCCCAGCTAAACACTTAAACTGTGTCTTAAACTGTTTAGATGCATGATCATTATTGTTAATAGCAATCCAAAATATAATGAAGAAAAGATAATTATAAACAATATTAACATATAGTGAGAGGAAAATGTTTGGAAGCAATGAATTTGATATTACATAATAGTCCAAACTGGTAGTGCAACTGCTCAGTAGTCAGATCAGGTGAGAGGATAGATCCCTGAGGAGTTAGGAAATCGTCACTGGCATTACCATTCCACGTTCCCATCAACCCTTGCGTCAGACCCCGGAAGGAGTCTGGAGCTACGAGAAAAATGCTCATTGCTCCTTCGAATGCTTTTATATTTAGCCCTACCCCTCCGTCAAAAGATACAATGATTCCATCTGAGGTAATGTTGCGACCGGTTACCGAGACCCCTAGAAAAGCGAATAGAAGCAAAATGATGGACACAAAAGAACTATGCCTGGTATTGACTAGCTTATCGTAAAATAATTGGTATTTAAAGCAAAATATTAGAGTAAAAACAGATTTAAGGATCCAGAACATTATAGTTCTGCACATTGTGAGATTGCTCAGTGGTCTGTGATTGAAAAAAATATTCCTAAAGCTTGGAGATTCTTAGTTCGAAGATACATCTTAATTTTCAGTGGTGTGATATTCCTCATTACCAAGTTACTTGAATAAATTAAGTCTTTCAACTGTTGAACTGACATCGATCTCTTGGTCACGTATCCCCTACAGAAAATGAACTGCTTTCTCAGCATCTTCTTGGTAGGAAGAAGAGGGTACAAATTTGTAGGATTCATATCTGAATTAACATAATTCTTACCGCATGACATAAACCAAAAAAAAAGAGGTTTATTTGATAGACGTGATATGCTCCAAGCAATGTAAGCAATATAGAATAACATTGTGTTTATAACTTCTGATACCTGAATATGACCATCGAGAAGCCTGATCGAATTCAATCCTTGTGAAGTTTTGTCCATCCCCGGCTAGTCGGACATAAACATCAAGAACCCTGCGTTCATTGGTTTGAACATGAATGACATCACTATCACCAAATCGTACTGCCATGGCAACAAACACCGTTGCATCAGACGTTCCTGCAATGGAAGATACAGTAAAAAAAAAATGATATGAACATTTGTTCAACTAACGGATGCAATACTTTAAACCAAATTCGGTTCAAAATAAAAGCAATAAGGTTCCTATATGTCTCATATTTAGAACCCAAAATAGTTTTTTTTTCGAGGAACTTATGTACAGGGTTCTCAAGCAAAATCTTGAATGTTGTTATTTAAAGAACCTCTAAAGGTTAAAACATTAAATCCCGAAGTCTTTACATGCACTTTCCATGTATGCTTTAAAAAATAGCTTTTAAGAAGCTCTGGTCAATTTCAAGAGCCCTGAATTACCTAATTTTTGTTTTTGAAATGCTGTCAAAAAATCCGTAAAAGTCTATCAGGAATTAAAATGTTATTGTGTCTGACTAAAATCGCAGACGGAAGTAAAATTGGAATGACATCGACGTGACAAGTACATGTATTAAAACTGAAGACTAACTAAAACAATAAATGGAATATGTGTTTTACCAACGAGAGGAGCCGCTCTTGCTTGTAAGATGAAGATGTCATTCAGTGCGTTCAGCAGAGTAAATTCACCGTGGCCGTTGAAAGTGTACGTGGTCGAGTCAAGAGTTGAAATATGTGGATCGCCACTACCCAATGCTGTGTTGTGACAAAGGGAGGGGGAGGGAGGAATAAATGGAGGGGATGGGAGAAAGAGAGAGGAGAAAAGGAGAAAATGTAGTTATTGAAGGGGGAAGAGGTTTTGTGAGGTTGTCAGGGATGATTTCTTGAGCAAGAATCTATTGAAATTCACTAAACATAATATTACGTTCATGCTCTTAAGCATGGTGTATGGTGTATGGTGCATGGTGTGTGCGTGTCTGTGTTTGTGGTGGTGGTGGGGAGGGGGGGGGGGGTGGGAGGGGGTTCTTATCATACAATACTAAACCATTTATTATGATCTTTTTTATTTTCATTTTAAAATGTTAATCATTCAACCAAAGCAGATTTGTCACTGAAAGTTGAGTGGTACAGTTCATCATTACTTCTTCTTCAAGAACAAAATGTGAACTCGACGCTGCCCTAACTTCCTTATTAACTATTTACCCTTTATGACACAGGTAATTAATGCTTTAAGGTTTACGTGTTAAGGTTTACGTTTAAGTTGTTTGTAATGGAATAAACATGAGCCCTTTTTGCAGATGTTTACCGCGTCTTATGTGAACAAACTTTTATGGTAACACACAAATATATTTCCAAAAATGCTCCAATGAGTATGTCTAACTGTTGAATGGTTGAAGAAATCTCATCGTGGTTATGCGGAGATCGATAAAACTGATGCACAAAAAAAAAATACCTAGAGCAGGTGGAACGTAGTTGTTGCAAGTTTGAGAAGGCCGTCGGCGAGCAAAATTTGTGCACTCATCTGGTCCACCGTAAGTACAGCAGTAGGTCCAGGGCAAGATGTCGACGAAGTAGTGCGACATATATGGTACCTGAATAGATGGAGTCATGTAATAACATTTATAACGTTCAAACAATAACGAACGAGTTTAGCGGGAAATAAAAACAACAAAATGGTTATAACATGAACGTGTTTATTAAAGCTGATACCCAGCTTTCATGTTACATATATAATAAACAACTATAAACCATAGTCGATAAGAAAGATTAACTTACAATCACTCATTCAGATGTATTGATTTGTCGATTAGGTAGAAATGATCAACGAAGTTGATCGCTGTCTGATATTTGGTCGATTTCCTTGTCGACCTATAGTTTTGCTCGAATGTCTGAAAGACGATTTCTAACAATAAAATGATGAACCATTTTCTCATTTTCTTTCGCATCATACCTATGCAACAGCTTTGGCAACTCTCGTGGAGTTTTCAAAGTTGTTGTATTGGTTTATATTTCTTAACAATTATTCAAACTTATACATGTATCTCAAAGCATTTGCTTTGATCCAGCTGAGGCATGCGGATTCTAATCGCTCGAAACTCACCTGCCCCCAACACTGGAATTTATTTAAAGAAGGTTGAAAATTCGTTAATCTGTCGGTGAATTGAATCTGTCGTCGTCGAAGCCACTGACCCGTCTCCGTGGTATAGTGGTCAAGGCTTCGACTTTCTAAGCAAGTGAATTGTGCAAGAATTACCAAAAGGGAGGACAGCTGCATCGGGAACTTTGATTTAAGCTACGCGACCACTCTCGCAATGTATTATTTCCACGGGAAATATAGGTAATTTTTAACATTTATATATTATTTATACTTATGTATGATATATGTTTAATGTTTATGGAGCTGTTAGATGCTATTTTAGTAAAGATGTTCATCGTAAGCTCAGGGGAGAACAAATCATTATCGGCTGGGCTGCTTGCAGACGGATGGACTCAATGTCATTTTTCATTAATTTCCCCGTTCTGAACGTTTGTCTTATATCTTCACTTTTTCTCTCTTTCCCTCTTCTCTCTATTCTTCTTTTTTTTCTTTCTCTCTCCCTCTGTATGTTTTCTTCCCACTTCACTGACCTGTTAATTCAGGTCCTCTGTTTTGTGCTTTCCTTTTCTGCCTTCACTTGCTTTCTTTATGACGTATTATTACGTCTTACCTTTTCCCTGCGCACTTTCTTCTTTATTTTCTGCCTTTTTAAAATTATCTCTTTATGACGTAATTACTCATGCTTTCTCTCTTTCTCTTTACGCATCGGCACAATTTATGGATGCACATGTTTTGACGAATAACGTTTCTTAACCCTAATCCCATTGGGTTATTTTGATCACTTGAGTCCATTGGGGGGGGGGGGCTTTTTGGCTCCCCCTCGGATCTCGGCAAATAATGTACCAATTGACTTGAAAATTGGCACAGTCGTAAAACAAGTAGGGTTGAATAAAAATGTTTAAAAAAAAAAAAAAATGACTTTTATTTTTTTATTTATAGTTTATTCAAATTTTGAATATGCAAATTTTTGACGAATTTTGGTAAAAAATTGGGATTATCTTTTGAAATCAGGAGAAATGACAGGATTTATTCAGGTTTTCTGTAAAAATACTTTCAAATAATGTAGTTCATTCATGTCCATGTTTTTTGGTAATATATATATATATATATATATATCAGTAATTTGCATAAATTATGCAAAATATAGCTCGAGAATCAGGATATTTCTTTATTTCTTTTGTATTTCATTGTTTTTATTCTCATGTATTTTATTGTTTTGATTTGTTTTTGTTTTTGTTTATTTTAGAAGAATTTGTCTCTGAAGTGTTTGAAATAAACTAAAAACAAAAAAATAATCAAAATTATAATTCAATGTAAAAGCCCCCCCCCCCCCCCAATGGGATTAGGGTTAAAGTAAAACAAAAAAAAACATTACTGGAGGGCGGGAATTTATAAAACAATTTATTCTTGCACGGAGGATCAATATTTGTTAGATTTTTGCTGGTTATCTCAAACTCCGAGCAGAAATAATACTGCCTATGTTTGTGTGTGTTTGTGTGTGTGTGTGTGTGTGTGCGTGTGCGTCGGCGGGTGTGTGTGGTTGAATTGTTCTCTACGTCGCTTTGTATATTAAACTCTCTCCCTTTCTTCCTCTTCCTGTTTGACATAGAGTCACACCAAATGCATATTCATACACAAATGATCATACCTTCTTAGGTGCCCCATATGGGGTGACGCCACCATGGTGGTAACGATGGTTGAAGCCCCCTCCCAGACTATCAACGATATTAATGATCATTCCATCATCACCATAGCAACACTCCTGTCCCCCTCCTAGTGAGCTGAAAAAACAAACAAAGCAGAAGTTGACATTTACTTTCCCCCATGCAGGATATCCATCTTAAAATCTGTACATACCTTGTTCATTTCTAACATTTTGATAAGGACATGTCATACTTATAAAATATTGGATGGCTTGGAGAGTGATACAAGAATATATTGCTCGAACTTTGACAATAGGGACTTTTAGATTTACACGACGAGAACATGGACCCCAACGTGTGACATCATTTTAGTGTAACGTGACGTCCTTGTAAGGCACTACCGGGCACAGCCCAGTGCATTAACTCAATGTCACACGCGGCAGTCCACGCTCTCGTCGTGTAAATATAAAAGTCCCTAATATTGAACGAGTCTGATGGTCATAGCGAGAGCAATATATTCTCGTATCACACGAAAACAAAGCCATAACATATTATTAGTATTATATATATCAAGCTGACTAGCGAAAAAAACTAAACCTGACTTACCTGGGTAAATATGGATTTTGTTTGTGTGTGTGTTATCGGTATTGTTAGTTGAAGTTCCCGGATGACTGAGCAATACGAGAACAATATTGGTCAGTAATCCGGGTACTGCGCTAAAGAATTGAATACACTGATTTATTGTACAACTTGAAACCCTTATATAGATAATAAGTATATGATAATAGATGAATATATTGCTCGAGCTATGACAATGTTGAACGAGTCGGAGACGAGTCCAATATTGTCATAGCGAGAGCAATATATTCTTGTTTCAGACGAAACAACGCCATATAATATTATTATTATCATCTTTATCAGGCTGACTAGCGAAATTATTTTTGGGGGCTTACCTCGGTAAATATGACTTTTGTGTGTTAGATATCGGTAGTTGAAATTCTCGGATGACTGAGCAATACAAAAACAATATTGGTCAGTCATCCGGGTACTGCGCCAGAAAAATGGAATACACCGATTCACTGTACTACTTGAAAGCCTTATATAGATAATACTGTATTTTATTGTATGAAAAGATTAATATACTAAGAAATGAAAATGGTACAAAAACTATTAATGTCATATATAACAAGTGAAATCAGTTTATTATTAGCATGTGGGTTTCCTAAAAAATACGTCTGGCTGGAATGCTCCCAAATGAAGTAGAGTGTGTGCACATTGACATGCAGGACTGTAATTGAATCCAGGTTAATAATACTTTAAGCGCTTCGGTCGGTCAAGTTGTAATTGGTGAAGTGCTTTATAAGAGTTGTAAGTGGATTCGTAATGGGTATTACTAATCATGCCAATAGAGTATGGAAAAGCTAGCTCTTCCACATTAATAATTAAATATATACCTCGGTGTGTCTGCTTGTACGCAGTGTAACGCCCCAGGTTTATGGATGCAGTTGCTAGGCGACGAGATGCCAATATCACACAGCGGATGCGGACTAAATCTCCCTATGTCGATTTGGGCCTGGTCAAGTGTACATGGGCAAGGGTGCGTGACGGACAGAAAGGAAAAAATAGACCAAAATTCTCTTTCAGTCCAATCATTGCACCAATTTATTACGTCATCGCCGTTGTGCCACTGTAGAACATGGACCTTGCTCCAGAGGGCAGCCCGGTTAGAACTAGAAGAACCCGAGAAAATAACGATTAGGGAACCAAGGAAATATTGTACAAATAGTACACAGCAGCGAGGGCATTAGTAAAAATTACTCACACAAGGTACCTTTGGAACAGTCTAGCACGCCCGATGCGATAGCCGAGGCTGTTTGAACTGTTTCGAAGGTACCGAGTGTGGGTAATTATACTAATGCCCGAACAAAATGATGTGTATTATTTGTTTTTAAGATGATGTTTTATTTCTTTGATAAAATGCTGTTTTAATACATTATTTGCTAATGACCGGTCATAAGTATTAATTAATGGCCGGTCATGTTATTCACAATATATGCCTTGTCACATGTACGCTCTCAACCAATCATTTGATTAGGATCCGCTTCAGCATCCTTATAACTACTTATATCCCAATTACCAAGAATCCTGCAACACGATTGGTCAAAACGAGATCACACGGAAAATGATGGATTGCAATATCCTTGATGTGATATTAAAGTTTGTTTTCTCGGAGTGATAGCATAGATATGCTGTATGTTATGAGAGGCATCGCTATAAATAATTAATATAGGCTTAAGGGACGTTGCATATAACCCCCAGGAGCGCTTCTTTTTAATTTTTGAAAAAAAATCGAATAATCTGATTGGTCGAAATTGGAGTCGTGATTATAGCCATGCCCGCCTAACGGTCAATAGTTTGTGAGAAAGATTCCCGTTGTCCCAGGTAACGGGCCGAATAAATACATTTTGCTGAGATCCCCTTTGGTTTACGTATAACAAGTTTCTTTGTGTGAGCGCAGATACCATACAGTGCAGTGTGTGTGCGATTCCCGAATGATTGATTGTAAAATCCAGGCAACCTTCCAGCAAAGATATACAGATACTGTATCGGATTTTCTTTGATGTTTTAACCAGTCTTTACTCAAGAAAAGTGCTATTTAATCATG